AAAGTATTAAGCTTAGAGACTATATTATAGTCTTTCTAGTCTTAAAGTAAAAGTTCTTTTTAAATATTAGAAAGAAGAGTATTTATAAAGTTTATATAGTACTACTTTTTTAAGTAGTTACTTAGTTTACTTTAAAGCGTATTAAAATAAGCTAAGAGAGAGTTAGAATTCTAATCTAGCTTCTATTTAGTCTACTTAAGTTTATTATAAACTATAAAATACTATAATAACTTAGAACTAAGCGTATTAAGTATAACTACTTTAAGTTTTTTCTAGATAGATATCTAAAATATCTTAAGCCTTATATAGTTCTAGAAGTAAATATTCTAAGTAAAGTAAGTAGTTTTATTAAGAAATTTTATAGTAAAGTTTATTTTTTAGATATTTATTAGAAAGATAGAAAGTACTTCTTTAAAAATAGCTTTATAATTATATATTTAGTAGTTATACTATAAGTAATTATATATAGTAAATATCTCTAGATTTTTAGAGTATAAAGCTTTTAAATTTAACTAGAACTTACTTTTTATAGTTAAAGTATAGTAAGTAATATTTACTTTAAGAGCTAAGTAGTTACTTATAAGTACTTTATACTTTAATTTCTTAAAATAGACTATATCTTAATAAGTATACTCTAATTATTTCTACTTATATAACTTCTTAAGTTTATAAGTTAAAGTAGCTTATTTATTTTTATTTTTAGTAGTAGTAGTTTATAAAAGCCTAGTTAGCTCTAAAATAAGCTTTAATAGTATATTACTATTTCTAATAATTAAGGCTAAGTTAGTAATACCTAAAGAGGCTTTTAATAGATTTATAAGTTTCTTAGTAAGTAGTATTACTACTTCTAAAGATATAAAAGCTAATTTCTTTTAGTTATTATCTATTATACATAAAAATAGTATAACTTACTTACTACTATATTATATTACGCTAAAAAAACTTATTTTAGAGCTTATTATATCTAAATAGTATATATAAAAGTATTATAAAGTAAAGTAATTTAAATATTAAATAATAGAGTTAGTTAAATACTAGATATATAATATTAAACTATAATTAGATATATTATTCTAAAAAGACTAAAGATAAATTACTACTAAGCTATAATAGTAATTCTAAGGTATTTATAGCTAATACTAAGTTAGCCTAAACTCTTTAGAGCTAGAATTTAATAGCTATATACTTTTTATAAAAAGTATAAGCGTATATAAAAGAGTAGGCTAGATTTTAGAGTATATATTTAAGCTTTACTAGAGTACTTATATATAAGAGTAGTATCTTCTTATAGTTCTAGTAGTTATTATAGTACTTACTCTAATTTATTAGCTAGTAATAATAAGCTAGAGAAAAAGTCTACTTTATAGTCTTTGCCTATATATAGCTAGATAGGCTAAGTAGTAAGTATAATAGTAGTAATTAAAGATCTAAAGAAGGTAGATATATTAGCTTATAGTAATGTATTTAAAATAGTATAAAATAGAATAGAAAAAGTAGTAATTAAGCTTTTTTAAGTATAAGATAAAGCTACATCTCTACTAGTAAGCGTTAGTAAAATCTATACTTAACTAATAAGTAGTAAGTTATGTAATTTGTATAAACTATAGAAAGGTTAAGCTTTGAGCGACTAAGAGGGCAGATCTTATCCTGGCGTTGATCGACTAAGTGGTGTGTTGTACATACGATCCACCCATGCATCGGCAGTCTGGAGCTCTAAGGACCAGGGTGATGTGGATATGAAAATCTTTCTGGAGAAGGACCCATGCACCTGTGTTAGACCACGAGGGCATCGCGAAAACCCAGCGTTTCCCAGATAAGCGTGCAGAGTCGACATTACGGGGTTGGAAGGCCTATCCAGTGTTCTGGGCATCGGATCTGGTACCAGGTGGGACAAGCTCTACGACTAGCGGGCAAAAGTGGCGCGCCGGAAAGCTTGGTAACTCAGTTCCTGGCGCTCGGTAGCTGCGATAACGCGTTTAGGAGGCGTTGTGATTCAGCTCGCTATTCGTAGTACTTCGGGCGAGAGAAAAGAGTTGTTCCTCCAATGACTTTGGTAGTTTCCGCGGCGCGAGGACTGTCGGGAAGCTGCGACGGACAGATTGTTGTCGCGATAACATCCACAAACGCTCACCTGCTAGGCTGCGGCTGAGATGGATGATAAAGGCCCGAATGACTTCGGATACGCTTTACGGACGAATAAGTGCAGGCGCCTTCTGGTGTTCGAGCTCTCGGGTTCTGATGGCCTCTGTTGGTGGTCCGGTCCGTTCATAGGGCTGGTAAGCATGACGTTGCGAGTGCTGGCAGGCACGGTTCCGCGCGACGCAACACGCCGCTCAGCCGTCCATTGTCCAGAACTCCCGAGGTCGAGGCTGCGACGAAAATCTCCTAAGGGTCGTTAGTCCAGGGGCGTCATGCGAATTATATTGCTCCGCGGGGCCAGACATCGTGTTGTCTCACACCGAGGAAAAGTAAGTTGAAGGTTTGAAGGGAAGCCACGTATTAACCGAGACAGCCCGGTCGCCCCTATGATCGCATCCATGCAGAACTCGTCCAATTCCCGGAGCTGCTCTCTCTATCAACCCATAACTACTCCAAGCTCTGCTACTTCTTGGAAGTTGGATTTTCTCCCACGAACGCCTTCATAAGCTCCTGCTCGACCTGCTCATCAACAGTGGGTGGTGATGACACGGCCGCCATGCACAAGATCAAGCCGCCACCACCAAATAAAGAGAATGCCACAAAAGCCATCACCCGCAGAGGTAGCGCACGTGATGACGACCAGAACGCAGGAGTCAGGTAGTAGGCTGTTACCAGGAAGAAAACACCTATGCCAACTAGAACATTGGTCAGCGCATGGTCGTAGTCATGCCGACATGTGGAACATACTTGAGATAGCGCGACTTTCACGAGGTAATGCACGTTGGTTTTTCTGGCTGAGGAGTCTGGTCTTAACCTCTCTATACACACACCATCCTTCCTCCGGACCGAAGATCTCGAGATACATCTTGGGAGGGTAGTCGCGCAATTCGCGTCCGGTGCCAAGCTTCCACTTGTCCGCTATGGCGCTTGCATGTTCGCGAGAGAGTCCGCGCGAGACAGACAGAACTTCAGTCAAGAACTCGCGAATATCGGTCGGAAGAGCGTCAAGTTCTGGGATGACAGGCTGCGAAAGCGCGTACAGTGGGGCCTTTTCCTCGCGGTCACCGTGGTCTTGGAACGAATTCGTTGACATGTTTTCTTAGCAAAATGATATAAGTACTCGCTCACCTCAAGAGATGGAAACATAGCGACGGCGGTGGCTCTAATTAACTATCCAAACAGAGCTGGATGATCGGCGTTGGTTCTTACGTCAAGGCAGTGGCACAGCCCTGGACAAGGCTGAATTCTTGGCATTCTGAAACACGCGTGCAGTATGGACATGCCAACCAGAGCTTCGTACTGAGCCATCCTACTCGTGTTCTCACCACTTCATCTTCATTACCTAAACCATAATTAGTGGTCTGCCTTACACTAAAAACATAGACCGGAGACTACCTAGGTGATTACTCTCAGGCCAGTCACGTGCATCTCAGTAAGCGACCGGAACCGGCACGTTGCCCAGCAAAGCCCGCTCGGCACAGCTGATCATTCCCGAAAACCTTGGAAGCGACGCTGGATCTGGGCAATCACAGTCTGGGTTGTTCGAGGAAAGTATCCATGAAGGCCACCGATAGCAACGAAGCATGAAGAGATCGCGGTGAGGATGAGCTGAATGGTAAGGAGCAGCAAAAGCGCAAGTTTGACCTCGTGCGCTCAGTTCGGACCTCGCAACGACGCGACACCGCTCACTCTTGCGTTCTCGGCGGAGTTCTTATTGGGGTCTTCTGCGACTTGGTGTGCATGTCGATAAGCTCGGGCAGAGGCTGCGTATTGGCAGTGCGCATGGTGGAAGACCACTCCTCTGCACGTACACCTCTAAAAGCGTTCTTTGCTATCTGCTGCAGGCGCCAATGGACCTTTCCACATACAGTATTAGCAATCGCAACCCGAAATAGAGAACAGCATCATAGCTCTCGTCTTGCAACTTACACCATCATCATCTTCCAACAAAGCCCCATGCTGGAGCTTCGAAGGAATATCATTCACTTGGGACTGAGCCGGGATGATGGGAAGAGCGTTGTAGGAACCGAACTGCTGGTAGGCCCCGCCGACGCTCAGGCACGCACCGTCGTTTCCTTTTGCGACAGCGTTCTCGAGAGGACAGTCGTCACCCTTATAGAAGGCGATTATGAGGTCTTCATCGGTATCTCCTTGGGCGATGTAGACAGATCGAGCGTTGGCGCTGTATAAGCTGCCGTCCTGACAACCATCATCTGGCGTCAAGCCGACTGCTCCACTGAGACGTTCGCCTCGGCATTGAATGCCAGTATAGAATTGGACGTCGTGGCCTATAGAAGGCACAATGAGGGTAAAGAGGCCGACTGCGATGGTGTTGTGCATCTTGGTCGCTGTTGTTGCTGGAGAAATAGTAGATGTTTGGGCGGTGTGATCTTGTGCTTGATGTAGAGGGAAGGTCGGCTTTTATGTCATCTATGACCAAAGAGCGCTCATACATCACCCTTCACTCACAGTCTGTCTGCGTACCTGCGTCATCTCCGCGCCGCCTCGTTTATCACTCCCCTACCTCACCCCGGCTCATAACGTATAGTATACCAAGAGGACGTGTTCCGTCTTCCGAGAAGGAATATCTAGGTACGTTCCTAGGCCATGCTGCTCGTCCCGAGATAGGTAAGGAGGAAGGAAGGGCCAAGACGGGCGAGCGGCATAGATAGTTGATCCCGCTTTGGCATGACCGTGGCTGGTGGATGACGTCGAGGCTACCTTACGATTCCGCGAAAGGAAGAGAGGCTGGTTGAGTTTGGCGGATTTCACGAGTTGCAGGATAGTTCGAAATATTGTTTGAACACATAATAATTCATTACTCATATCCTCATCCCCTCCCACATAAACACCATGGGTATCTACAGAGTGTACCTGAAGCCCTCAAGGCCCTCAATGATCTTGCCTCCGTTGTTCGCACGCTTGTTCGCCATCCAGAACTTCAAGTTGAGCAACAGCGAGATGATAATGATCATACCGGACGCAATCATGCAAGCAACGATACCAGGGACGTAGGAAGGTGCGTCCTGGGTACGGAAGACAGTGCCACCGATGATGCCACCGATACCACCCGCGCCGACGAGTGTAGCGCTGCAGAGAGCACGCTTCCATTGGCCGCGGATGTTGTTGGCTTGCCAGGTGAGGATGCAGGGGACGTTTGCGTTTGCAGCAGCGGTAGCGAGGAAGACGCCTGAGAAGGGTTGTTAGTGCATGTACAGAGAGGGCAATGGGGATGAATGACTTACCAAAGTATCGGACACCGACGTTGGTGCTGAAGCCAATCATGGGGAGACCGATGAGAGCGAGGACACCGTTGGCGATGACCCATGGGCTGCGGATGTGGTACTTGTCTCCTGCCCAGGCGAAGCCAACCATGACGAAAGCGGCGAAGACGTAAGGAGGTGCGATGAGGCAGTTTGCTGCGGCGGGGCTGAAGCCCATACCGTCCTTCAGGATGATGGGAAGGAAGTAGGCGATGGCGTAGGTGATGGTGGTGGTGAACATGAAGATGAGAGCAAAGCCCCAAACTTTGAGGTCCATGGCGCCCGCGAGGTAGCTCTTGAGGTTAAACTCCTCAGCGATGACATCGTGGCGGTCTTCTTCGATGCGGGCGACGATGAAGTCCACTTCGTCTTGCTCGAGGAACTTCTTTTGGGTCGCACTGGGCTTGGCTGCTAGCTCGGGGAAGTCAACGATGAAGTACCATCCAACGACACCGATCAGAACGGTGATGACTCCTTGCATTATGAAAATCCACCTCCTAAAGTACGAAGTCAGTATATGTCTCACATGCACTTCGTATAGTTAGGACTTACCATCCTGAGAGACCAGGTCCGAAGCTGACGGGTGTGGTGGGCGCCTTCTTGGTGGGTCCGTAGTGGGGACCAAGCCAGTATGCCGCTTGTACGCCCTTGCCGTTGAGAAGAGAGAAGAGGTAGCCGAGGATACCTGAGAAGGCAGACGACAGCATACCGATGAGGAAGAAGACGGTGTTGCGCTTCTGGAGTTCGAATCGCTTGTACCAGCATGAGAGGAGGTATGCAGAGCCGGGGAAGAATCCAGCCTCGAAGATACCGAGGAGCAGACGGAGTGGGATGAGTGTGTGCCATTCCTTGACGAAACCGAAGCCAATCATGACTGCTCCCCAGATGATGACGATAGATGGCAGGAAGAGTCTTGGACCAAGCTTCCTCAGCACAACGGTAGCTGGTGGCTGGAGTGCGACGTATGTGATGAAGAAGAGTAGCACGATGATACTGTATCTCTCGCCAGTGAGCTTGAGATCGACGCCCATACCGGCAACCATGGCGACACCTAGGTTGGTTCTATCCATGAGAGAGACACAGTACATGCAGCCGAGTGTGGGGATGAGACGAAAATCGACCTTGCGGACAATCTTCTTCTGCTCCTCGGGTGTGAAACGACTGATGGCGGCATTGCTGGCGGTTGTGTCGGACTCGATGCGTTCTAGGGTGGCGACGTTGCCCTTCTCTTCAGCGTAAGAGGCCATGATAGTCGTTGGAGACTCTCGGAGTCCTCTGAGGCCCTTCAAGGGGGTAAGATGTAAACCTTGATGAACGACGAGAAGATCAACAAGGAGTAAGGGAGAATAGAAGAGGAAATCTGGCTTGTGATGGAAGAGGATGAAGGTGAACTAAAACCACAACTGTAGGATACTCGACCTCATATACACATCGGCTTCCCCAGACTACTGATCTCGCCTTCCCCAGATTCTTTGCGGCCTCGGCTCCACCGTACCCCAGACTCTCCAAAACTTAGCAATTTGCATTGGATACTGACAAGCTCTCGAAGCTATCTCGCCTACGACCTATCGAAATGACACTGGTACGGAGCCTCAAGCCCATAGCTTCGGAGACGATTCATCACAGCGGTTAGCAGTACTCATGCCAAGCAGCTCCAAGCAGCATAGCATCCGCGATAGTGCTGTCTGGACCCGGCATTCTGGCGGTCTTGACTCCGGTACAGCGCGCAGGCGCATGTCAAGGCGTTTCCGACAGTCACGCCCAGCCTATACCCCGCGTGAACAGCCATTATGGTGATGGAAATCCGGAGGTGGCTGCGACAAATGGGGTGGGCTTTTGGTGGTTTGGAGCCTGGGCAAGCACTTAGCGGGGTGTCCGCTGTCCGCTACGGGCACGTGGCGTGGGCCCAGACTCTCGAATCGAGGTCTTTTGCTAGACAACTTGCCGACAGCCATTGCCATCCAACATTGGCAGGGCATCTTCCGCTGGCTCATCGAGTGATTATCGAGGTGTTGATGTACTATGAGCGGAAGCGTTCCACGATGCCTAGATGCATGTGAAGACGATGCCTTCTGGTCGAGCGGCGAAAGTAAGTGCGTGAGACTGTACTCCGCCTAGCTACACATACGCTGCCGCTGCAATTTAATACAACCGTTCGTATAACTAGACCGGTAGGCCTTCAGCTTTGCAACTGTGTTATCGTCGTCGGAACTCATCTGGGTTTTGCACAAGATGCGGAATTGTTCATGGTCGTGATCTGATCATGTGTCTTACCGGTCCTTCTTCCGGTTCTTAGCTGTCATGTCTCCACGATTTGAGACATTCAATGGCGGATATTGTAGGATGTTGTTTCGAAGTTTGTTGTACTAGTACAATCTTTGACGGGGTTTCCCGCTCGCATGGCCTCTTAGATCCTCCAAACGCTAAGGGTAACAGCAGCCATGTTGTTGTTTGAATTTTCGTGTGGTTGGCATGCGTCTTGCAAACAGCATCTACTGTTGTTACTCCGGTGTGGGGTGTCGTCCGGTGATGGGAACCTTCTTTGTTGGATACTACGTCTTGCCTACCTAGGTAGCGTGTCGATATCCGACAAGATATCGATGCAAATGTTTCCCATCCAAGGTGTGGCGGTCATCGTATGGCTTTAGCCTGTCGCTACTGGAAGACCAACCAGTGCGCTTTTTCTAGCTGAGCTGGCCGGGTGCTGCCCGAAGCCGTACCGAGGCAGGACGAGTTTGCTTCTGAAAATGGGCATCAGGATGAACAGGTGTGAAAAGTGAAATGCAGAAAGAAGATGTTGTCTGTGCAGGTCTATGTAGTTAGTTTACCGAAAGCTGGGGTCAGATCCGAGGGTGTGTTGCGGTTGCCGGCGTCGCTGATCAGTGATCACCATGTTCGTGCCGAGCCGCACCTGAGTCGTTCTCAGCTCACGTGACTCAGCAGCCCGAGTCAGTCGGCTGGGTGACAGAAGTCGCGACACCAAGCACCCCGCTTACCGTCTTGGTCTATGCTGAGGTGACGAAGTTCTTGAGAAGCATGTGGAAAGCTTCTTTGTGAGTTTGTATGATGTTATGTCTTCCGTTTCAGACACGTCTGAACCTTTGCACGACGTTTCACGGGGCCTTGGATAATGTGTGAGTCAGATACATGAGGTTTTCTTTTGAACGCCGCGTAAAGCCACAATTCCCATTATTGAACAAAACCTCCATGGTATGTCTACTCAGACGCCACGATAGGTGACGTGGGTTGGACGAGGTAGTTAGTGAGGCCAGTGTTCAGCAGTAGGCATCCCATGGCTGACGAGGTTGCCGCACGCACCACGGGATGACTGGGCCTACTCCCGTAGACCTGTATGAGGGTCTCCATTCAGGCCTCAACGGACACTAAACACCTGGAGTATCTGGGGAGCAAGTGACGTCAGCTGGACAAGACCGGGACTGACGCCTGACCAGACAGGTGATCCCCCACGTGTACAGCAAAAATCGGACCAAATGCTGTTGAGCTGAGACATATTTCGACGAGACGTCCTCATTCAAAGCTTCCATTCGTAGATCATGATGGAAAAGCTCGGGATTGTTACTATTGCTTTTCGCTCCCCCGTCGCGTGGTACCTGTAGTTGACAGCGGAGGGTATGAATTTTCGCCCACAATAGCCGCTGGGTGGGTCTTTTGGGCATGCTAGATCCAAAAGTCCATGGCGTCAGCGCCAGAAGTGGGTCCGTAGGGCAGCGAGAGCCGCAAGACCAAGTGTTCGGGACCCAATTGGAGACACTTTGGGCAGCGAAGGATTCATTGCTGAGACGAAGTGACATGCCGCATGTGAGTCACACGTCCTGATGGAAACGTAGTCTCTAGAGAGGAATTGCTCGCGCGAACGAACTGAAGCTGGATAGCGCGGTGAAATGAAAGCGTTTAGAATGCCGTTGTCGAATTTCGCTCGGGTTCCAACGAGGTGGTGGATTTGTAGTGGGCTGCGCTTAGCGAGTTCCCACGCGTTCCTCCACCCAACCAGCGCTAGCCAAACGGCGAGACGACAATGGTTAGGAAGGCGCGACCACGATTTTGATATAACGAAAAGTGCAGTTTGAATGTCTGACAATAAGAAATAATGAGTTTGCAGGAGTTCATGTAAGATGGGTTGTGGCGTAGATTATCTTGAGATTGTGGGTACATTACCTGCATGATGCTTAAGGCAAGTGATACTGACATCCATCGCATGTCCACTGCGCATGGCGGCATCGAACGCCCATCGCGTCTTTACGTCGACGATCAATCGCAAGTTCTCAAGCATCGACTCCCACCATCCTTTCTTGAGAAGTATGATGGCGTTTTACAGTTCCCATGCACATGACTGTGTCACTGTGGCACAAGAGCTGCCGATATCGCATCAATCTGACACAGGCTTCAAGCCAAAGATCTTGATGTCTGCAGGGCGTGTGCGATGTGCCGAAATGATTCAGCCCCGATGCTCTGCCGGTCACACCAAGAGTCTAAACGGACGTCAGTGGAAGACGATTGTATGCGGAGACCGTTTCGAGCGAGTTGTCATGCCGTATCTGTCCGCTACCCCGCCGCAGAACTTGCTGGAGGTCACGTAGAAGGTTGGCTAATCACTCAATGTGTGCAACGAGCGCTTTGCAAGACCTGGCGGTCGGCACGAATTGGTGTAGCGCAGAGTGCTGCATCTGAGCCGAAGCGAATGGTTCTGAGTGGCATTTATCAAGCATCACAGCACATATCTGGCGCAGGCGTGGATGAAGGGTAGCCACAGTTACACGAAACTCAACGTCATGCCTGCTGGTGTGGGAGCATTGGATGAGCGGCCACCCTTCCGTTACGGACCACTGCACTATTTCGTCTTACAGGACCGGGACGAGCGAATGGCAAAGCTGTCAAGGATGCACCACATGGTAGCTGGTGGTGGGGTGTTTATGGCGGATGTCTGAAGCTTGATCTAGCAACGACGAAAAGTCAAGACGCTGCACTCTGTCTGCAGACCGTGTACCATGACGCCGGTCGAACACAGCATGGGGGACATGAGGGAGGAGAGCAGTGGCGAATACCTCGGAATACGATAACGGTCGTCGTGCGTGTGACGTTTGGAGTCGCGGTGCCGTGGAAGCCGCAGGTTGCCGGATTGGGCGTATTCGAGGGCGCATCATTTGTTCTGGTTCTGGCCAGAATTGTTGAGGGCATTGCGCTGCTCGATGCGGTGCGTCTGTTCACCGGAAGCTTTGGTGGGGTAGTGTCGATGACTAGGCGAGTAAGCAACGCTTGACGGGCCGCGTGATGAGAGCTGCGTCCGAGGCGATTCGATGGGGTTGTTACACCGATACGCTGTCTTGCTGGCAAGTGCGTTAGTGCCGGGCAGGGCAAGAGCTGGGAGGCTGTGATTTGCGTGGTTCTGAGGACGCAACGCCAGCCATGCTTGACACCGGACAATGAGGACTCGCAGTGGCGAAAGGACACATGTTATGCGTCGCGTCCTGGAGATTAATGAAGGTAACGATGGTGAGAGTGCTCTGTTGTTCCTGCATGGTAAGCGTGATTGACGTGGCCGAGCCAGGAGCAAACGAGTTAGCTGTTAATAAACGACGCAGTGCTGAGGCTCCATGACGTGAACCGTGAGGAAGCGAGGAAGCGCAAGGAAAAAGTTCGATGGAGCTAGGAGATTCTGCCCTGCAACCGTTCACCGTGTGATGCTGCAGAGCATCGAGGGCGTCGTGGTAATACACGATAGACAGTGCCAAGGCGGGGTGTGATCAGCAGCAGCGGCCGCCAATTTCGTCTAGCAGGCGGGCGACAAGCTTTCATGAGGGCTGGATCGAGCGAGGAGCGCGTTGAGATGTGGTTTTGACGGAATGTCGTGACGCGCGAGAGGGCGGTGAGGTGGTGCGTTGAGGTGGATTCGCCCATTCAGCCCTCTCAGGCGAACGGCTCGCAGCTACGAGGGCCGGGCAATCCCGGTTTCATGTCGTTCGAACGGAGACGATCCACGACCACTCAAACCGATGGATGTTGCGCATCTGAGGCAGCCAATGGCCAGGCGACTGGCTATTATTACGACCCGGACGACGTGATCAGCATCAGGGTGGCATGGCGGCAGGGTGAAGCAGTGTAGACGCATGGCGAAACTGTCGCAGACTCGGCCTCGGAGGGCAGGCCTTCCCAGCAGACTACTTGGACGTGGCCGCGGTCGCGGTGCAGACAGCAGCATGGCGATGGCAGTGTTGCGGCTGGCAACGAGTGCGTCTGCATGCAGCCAGCCAAAGTATGGTGTGGAGGCTGCGTCACCACGACAGCGACCACTTGACGACAGCCAGGAGCTTGAGGGCGGCAGAGCAGCCCCTCGGCCAACCACTAGGTGTTGGAGGTTGACTGGGCAGCGACGGATGCGGTGCGCGCCCAACGATTAGACGCATTGCATGAAAGAGCTAGCCCGCTATAAGGCAGTTTATAGTACCACGCCGTTTTGAATTTTACGGGCGGGGGAAAACTTTCGTGTGTCGAAGCCCGAACAACGCCTGCATGCCTGTCTGCTGCACACCAAGTCGCCCGTCATACTCTGCAGCGCCTCGCATATCCCTCATCCCTCTGCCTCCCTCGTCCCTCCGCTCTGATCTTCTTTCCCCTTCACCCACACCACGCCCCCGCCGCCTTGATGAGACGGTAGCAGCCAGCCCTATGCCCGTGCGAATAATGCGCTTTCGCCGTCTCGCCTGATTGATTGCTTGTCCAGGATCGCCCCGCGACGCTTTATTATCGATAGAGCGCGCTGCTGGAGCCGCTAGATATTTTGCCGACTCCTGTCTTCTCTCTCCCCAAAACAAACGCTGCTACTACTGCTGCCGCTGCCACCATGGCGGAACTGCAGCCTACTGTCGAGGACTGCTACTCGGATGACAGCGAAGGCGGCTCTATCCCCTTCCAGGGCCGCCGGTCGCCCAATGCCGCTAACGTCTCCACCAAGCGCTCGCACCCTTCCGACTTGGATAAACAAATGCCGCCCGCGCAGGAGAGGGCGCCGACCAACATCGACCTTCGCTCCGACTCAGGGTACAGCAGCTACACCACCGCCACCGTCAGCAGCACTAATTCCGCTCAAAGTGCTCCTCCCCAGCGCAGCCCGCCCCAGGTGCCTGCCGCCGCTGCCCCAGCGCCTCCCCAGCCTGAGGCTTCAAAGGCCCGACGACGCCCGACGACGGACACGACCGAGAAGACTTCCAAGTCGTCCACTTCGCGACCCAAGCCCTCTCGCACCGCTTCGTCCGCCTCCAAGCCTCCTGCTGTTGTCCAACCTCAGCCACCGGAACGTAAACGCAGGCCGACCGTTACCCAGGAGTCCCGCCCGGAGCGCAGAGATCGTCGTGATAGCAGAGTTGAACCGGATGGTGCCGAGCCTAGACGCACCAAGTACGACCCCAACGCCCCTGCCTCAGCTGTCCGTCGTCGCCCTGACATACTGCCATCTCAATCCGCTCGCGACGTGCGTCCCATTCCACAAGACACACGCTCAATGCATTCTGATCCCGCTTCCTACCAGCAGGCTCCGCCCTCCCCTACGCACTATCGCCAGTCCTACCACGGAGGAGCCGCCGTCATACAACCAGCCACGACACGTCCTCGTCGCCCATCGGCCGCTACTCGACCCATGAGCTACAGCGGTGAGCCTGGGGCCCAGTACCACCACTGGGCCCATGGTGCGCCTGGATACCCCCCTCCACACCACGAGCATGGCCCGCCTCTTTCTCAATCTGCTCAATTCCGGCAACCTTATCCCCAAATGGGTCATCCATCCATGCCCTATGGGACGTCTGGCTACCCCCCTCATTACTTGCAGCAGATGCCTCAATCCTACGACCCAATGCAGAGGCCGGGAATGGTACCACGGCAATCATTCAATACCGCGCGCACAGCACCTCAACCCGCTGTCATCCAAGCTCCCCGCGAGCAGCAGCAATACTCAACGAGGCGCAATCAACCTCAAGGTACATACCCTAATCAACTCCAGATCCAGGATGAAGCCTATACAAGCGATAGTGAATCTGAGGCGGGATCGTCTGATGGAGAAGGCGACTATGAGCGGGAGCCTGAGATCGATCCCGAGGACCCACGTGTCCGCCGTGCGCTCATGCCCCCGCCCCCTCAGAAGCTTTCGCGAACCAAGTCCAAGTCAACGACTAAGCCCAAAACCAGGAAGGCGGAACGGCCTATCTTGTCTCATGCTCACACTACCACAACCGTAGAGCAAGTTCGCAGCCACCGCCATTCGCTGTCGACTCCTCCTGTTGGCGTCGACGACCGCTCCAGCCGTCATCGACCTACCAAAAGCACTAACGAGGCGTCTCGCCGACAGTCCGTCAGCCGACCTCCACCCCCACCGCGCGAAACACAAACCGAATACCCCGCACGACGTGGTTCGGTTTATGTGGGCGAAAGCACCAAGGCTGAACGGCGTCGATCCGCTCACTACGGGCAGTCTGCCAGGGATAAGGAGTATGCACAGTATGCCGCAGAGAGGCAGCAGGAAGATGCACGCCTCGAGGCCGAAGAGCGAGTCAGGAAAGAGCTCAAAGCTGCGGCCCGTGCCAAGCGTGAAAGACAAGCTCGAAAACAAGCGGAAAACGAAGCTCGCTATGAGGCTGAGCAGGAGCGCAAACGCGAAAAGCGCAACTCGAAGGTCTACTACCAGCCTCCCGCGGCGTTCGACGACAGCGACGAGGAGTATGAGTCTGATGAAGCTGTCGCTCTTGTCGTTCCCGAAGCACCGGTGCCTCCTCGCCATCGCCGTCCTACTGACGCTGGGGTGCGCAAAGCCAAAGAAAGTCAGGCTTTGGACTACATTAATAGCCAACGTGGCACGGATGTTCCGTTGAATGATCACATTCATCGTGCTGCAAAGAGGGCTTCTAGGGTACCTTCAATGCCCTCTCATTCCGGCTCCTCTGGAAGCGATAGGCAAAGCCAGTCTAATCGCACCGCTCTTACGAGCAACGGCAATAATGAGATTCGCCTCCGAGTTGATGCGAACGCCCCACTCAGTCTGCAGTTCAACGGCGACATGGAGGGTCGCACTATGCAACTCATCCCGACCGAGGACGGCATGGCAGAACTTGTCATCAGTGGAAGTCGTGATAATGAGAGCAACTATCACAGCAGTGAAAGAGGCAGCAACGCAGGTGACGGACAGGCACTTGTAACGCGGAGCCAGCTAGAGGAGATGACCAAAGCAAGCATGCGCAGCGACCGTAGAAGGCGCGAAAGCCGAACAGTACGGGATTCTTACGATGATCGAATTGTTGAGGTGCCACGACCTTTGCGTCGCCGCGCCAACACCAGTTCGCATTATTACAACTAAGGATCTCCGAACCTCAGACACTCGCGCGCGAAAGGAAGATGCGTAGCTCGACTTTGACTCTCTTTCCTGCTGGCCAGACGTAACTTCCCATCCTCTGCCCTGCGTGGCAGATCTCTTTGTATCTTCCTTTTTTCTTGGGTGGATGATTTCCATATCAAAAGCTTTCTACGAGCGCGGACATGCCTCTTTGGCAGACCTGCTCAACAAAAAAGTTCGGATCGGTTTATTCATCGCAAGTTCGATTTTGGCACTATTGCCCACTCGCATTTCATGTTTGTATGCTTGCTGCGTTCCCTGCGACAGTGCAGGTCACATTTTTATGGTTTGCTAGACTGGACGCTCACGCACACCAACATCTAATGCGTAAGGGCGGTCACCGCCATCGAACTTCTTGTTTGGACCGATCAGATTGTACGGTTATCTTCTTCCTGCCTTTCGTCGCGCCCTTTTTTGAGCGTTCCCCACATTATTCCCCCCTTCTTCTTACTTCTTCTTTACCCTGCACTATACCTGCTCCTCGCGGAGGCTTTTCGGCACTTTTTCTCGATTTTGGCGGATGTAATACCCTTATCTCCTTTTCTACTTGTTATGGCTGGATCATGTACGTGGCAGAAATGTTTGGTGGGGTTTCCTTTTTTTCGTTCCGCTATTTCGCAAAAAAAGTAAGCAGAGGTCGATGTGTTGGCAACGGCTACGACGCTTATGATGATGGACGTATGGATCATGAACTACGCAGCGATGGATCTTTCTCTCTCTTTTCCTTATCTACATAGCTGAGCTGGGATGGATGGATGGCATGATGGGATTTATTCAGATCGGATACTGCAGCTAGCCTGCTGGTATCGTGTAGGACATGATCACAATCACATCTCTTCTACCCTCCTCACCGTTACCCTGTACTGGTTCACCGCAAATGTGATGCAGGACGCCAGCACTGACCTGAGCTTGCGTGTATGCTTTTGTCTGACTGCATAGGGCGACATCCTAATTCGGGCTACAGCACTTAGTCGTTTCACCCCCACACTACAACTGCGGGCATGACGCTACCCACCGTTCCTTTTTCCCACGATTCCAGACCGTGGCCTCGGTACGGTAAGGAAAATGGAAAGTACCGGTACTGTACGCGTTGGCGTGGGCCTGGCTGCCGAGTGTTTCCGGTGTGGCTGGCCTGTCCGCCTCGCTTGCCTCACTTGTGTTGGGCGAGTGAATGCATGTATCGTAGATTGATGGACACGTGTCGGGGTGGGAGATGAGATACACGTCGATGAACTCGTGACATAAAGTACACGTAGTCAGTACCGGAATAGAGATGAACGGTGAAGCCAGGGTTAAAGACATCACTGCTTGATGATGATGATTGAAGAAGGCACGTGCTACTCGTTGCTACGGATGAGATTCTGATTACTGAAGGTAAACCTGGCAAGGCTGAGTGAGTCTGCTTTTGGTTCGTTCTACTGTGGGTGGTGCTTCACCAGACATTGTCGTTCGTGTGCGGCGATGTCTTTACACCCTCGAGTCGACACTGCTGTATACACACACACATAATCCTATGTACATGCTCTACAACCGCGCTAACAGCCAAGCCTTCATACTTTGTCAATAATTCTACCCTCCACTATTCTTCCTTTGCCTCCTTTTCTTCTTGCTCACTACTGGCGTGTACGGCTCTTCAGTGGTGCTTGAGACTGTTGCCTCAGCCTTGGGACTTGGGTTACCGCTGGTTACTGTCGACGTTGTCGGCGTTTCGGACCTGCTCGGACCTATCGCCTCAGCCTTGGGCTTCTGTAGCGCAAACGTCGAAATTCCTTCTTGCTCTTGCTGACGCACAGCTTCTTTCTCCTTGTCCGGTATGGGAGCTTTTCCTGTTGATAGCCGTGTCTCTGAGAAGGCCTTTGGCAGTGGAGGAGGCTGCAATGGGTTGTTCGGTTGCGTGGAGTTACTGGCGGGTATTGGGGGAGGTTGCTGTCCTGCTGGATAAATCGCTGAATGGGGACGCTGCCCCGCTAGATGAGGATACTGTGCTGTTGGATAAGGATACTGTGCTGTTGGATAAGAATGCTGTCCTGTTGGATAAGGATGCTGTCCTGCTGGATAAGGATGCTGTCCTGCTGCATAGTAGTACTGTGGTCGTAGATAAGGCCGATGTTCCGCGTAGTAAATATGCGGTGGTAAATATGGCATGTTTTCTGCTCGATAGAAATGCTGTGGTGCTAGGTAAGGCTGTTGTCCTGGTGGAGCTGGCGTAGGAAGATGCTGTGGTGCTGGGTAAGGATGCTGTCCCTGTGGAGCTGGCGTAGGAAGATGCTGTGATGCTGGGTAAGGATGCTGTCCCTGTGGAGCTGGCGTAGGAAGATGCTGTGGTGCTGGGTAAGGATGCTGTCCTGGTGGATAAGATCGCAGTACTATAGGAGGCAACCACCCCATTGGTGGCGGAATTGAATTGGAGTTTGGGGGTCGTTGCATGGGAACATGAGCGTCGTTTGGCAGCCATTGCGGTGCTTGAGGGTTCGGCTTTACTGCAGGAGAAGCGGGCGGCTTCAGGGTTCTTTTGTGTTTTTCTTCCGCATTCCGCTTATGTTTGATTGCGTCTTGTTCAGCAGAAGCTGCAATCTTTCGCTGCTTCTCTTCATCCTTGGATAAAATGGGTATTAGATCGGGAGGAATCGGAGTGCTTAGCGAGAAATTCCTACCAAACCTTTTGAGATCGTCCAGTTTCACTTGTTTGTTCTTGCTGGCGAGCGACCTCTGTTTAGAGGTAAGTACATCGCCAGCTTTAGATAATTTCATGACACTATTTCCCACAGGATGCTGCTTAGCTGCAGCTTCAAGTTTAAGATCGGAGTCCTGGAGATACGACTCTGCCTTGCTGGAGGCCGGAATGGGGCTTGGGGCCTTTTCGAGACCAGGCTCTTCTTTCTTCTGAGAGACTACTGTCTCTGGGGTACGTTGGCGGACCGTGGGGTGATCGAGAACATTTGATCTGCTTGTTTGCATAGTAGGATTTGCGACGGTTCTAGTCCACATAGCTGAAGCTTGGGTGTATTGTGAGTGCATGGGGATGGTTTGCGTCCATTGCGCAGAAGCTTGCGTTGCATGATTGAGTGTTGAAGGTTTCGGATTCGAGAGCCAATTTGTGTTGTCGTTGGCGTCTTTGACCTGAGTTGTTTCGTTCGAGTTCCTTAGCATTCCAGTTCCATGATTATGCACCATGCTAACGGAAGAATCCAGGGGTGTATGCATATTCGGGATATGGTTTGCGATAAACCAAGGGTGGTCGAGTGCTTGTGCGGTGGTCAGCCTCCGCGAAGGGTCTACCTGCATTAAAGAGCGAAGGAAGTCTATTGCAAGAACACTAGCCCCTGATCTCCTCAAAAGATCATCAGGGAAGCTCATTTGGTATCTTTGGTACTGTAGGAGATGCTCGTCGTCCAGGAATGTGCCATGTCCTGTTAGAGCACATGATATGGTCTCCCCTAAGCACCATATATCAGCACTGAAAGGGGTTGCGCCCGTTGAGGGAGCCAGAAAAGGCTTTCCAATAGTCTCTGGAGCCATGAAGTTTGGAGTGCCATGGATGGTAGTTGATCCTGAGGAGGCGCCGCTGCGGCGACTAAGACCCAGATCGCCGAGCACGACCCACCATTCGATATCTTCTGGTGGTTTACGGTGTATCAGGATGTTCTAGAGAGCTATTCAGCGAACAACCAAGATGAAGCTCCTGTTGTGCCCTTACAGCGGGTTTCAGGTCTCGATGGGCAATCTCGTTATCATGCATACATTGTAACCCATGAATGACTTGAACAGCAATGGTCTTGGCAGTCTCTTCCGGCAAAATACCACAAGTCTTCAGGTACGTTCCGAGGTCCAGATGTTTGCAGTACTCCATGCAGATATAGAGCATCCGCCGGTGCTCGTACCAACCGTACGATCTGACAAAGTGACGTGCATACTGCGCCAAGCGTTAGTAGTCTGAAGGAAAGGTTCCCTTGAGACTCACTCTGCCTTGCGCGAATTTAGATAATGCCTCGAGCTCGCGGACATATCTCTTACTGTCGTTATCCTCAGAAGCGAGATCGGCCTTGAGCATCATTTGTTTAACAGCTAGAATTTCCACGTTGCCAGGCCCTTTGATCTTTCGCTGCAAGAAGACCGTGCCATCGCCGCCGCGGCCAATAGGCTCCGTGGTCTCCCAAAATTGAGGTAGAACGCTGTCCCGACATTCTAGGGGCGCTGTGTGGATGGTACTCTGGCCTTGAACGATTACCTTGAGCTGCGAGTCCCGGACAAGTTCTGGTAATGCATGTAGATGCGTCATCTGACTTTAGCAACAGCAGATATGTGGAGTGCAAATGCAGATGGCCAGACGTACTCGTATGAAATGGTTGCAAGACCGCAATTTGTTGATGGGCGAAGGTAAGAACGTCAGCTGCAAGGCCGACAGGGCGGCAACCCCAAGCAACCTGGTCTCAGCTGGTCGCACCAACTTGGCATGCATGCTAATTGACCAGGCGCAGTAGTGGCTGAGTAGCCGTAGGCGCTTCGATTCTGCCAACAACAAATCAGAGGGAAAGCCGAAAGCCATGAGGCCTGCGAAAGAGCCTGGCCAGATTATGTCGCGTCGCTTAACGCAGCCTGGTTGCGCCTGGCGTCCAGCGCTACGCAAGGCAGCATTCACTGCGATCCAGATATCTAGGTGCCGAGCAGATATAGTGCCATGTTGCCAGCGTCGGATTTCGAGTGTTTCGCTATTGTTCAACATGTCCGCAGAGCTGCTATTAGCGATTCCTCCCACAGTGGAACTTTGCAGAAAGTGAGGCTTTCCAAAGATCTCGTAGTTCGTTCGCGATGGGGCTGACAGAAAACAGATATATCAAAGAAGGGAGAGAGTTGTGCGCTGCACTTAAACATGCCGATACTGAAGCTTCGGAGCGCTTGGTGCAGCTCAACAACAACTGGGTACGGTTTGGGTCCCAGCTCAATTTCTTCCAGCGCATCCAGAATGCGATGCAAGAAGAGCACCGCGAGGTGTATAGTCAGACCCTGCAGATACTCCAAAACAAGTTGGACATCGTGGTGTCTATACTAAGGAGTTTCATAAAACTGCAGCCTGCAAACGAGAATGGGACAGCACCACCCAATCTCAAGGTCCAGCGATTGAAATTCGCAGCTAAGAAGAGCAGCTTGGATGAAGCCATCGACGATCTCGAGAAGTGGCAAGGGCTAGCCGACCAGTCCTGGTTTTTGCTCCTAAGAATCGCGAATACCCAAGTTGATCAGGCCTTGACTACAAGCGGCAGCCACAATGAGCTCAGTACAGGCGTAGCCATGCCAGAAACGATGGCTATACGTGCTGGTTTGCAGCAGGTTGATGATCTCTCACCAGATACATCAGCAGTCAAAAACATTACCCTGCGCTCCAGCGATATAAAGACGATGACCGTCCAGGCCATTTCTTTCTGCGATGGTATCGCACTTGCCACGAAAGCGCATTCGGACGGATCAGCGAGCAGGTACATCCTAAACCACATGCAATGTGAACCTGGTGCGAAGCCGCAGATACTGAAGCGCAACGTCCGCGACCTTGTACGAAAGCTTCAGGCCGACAAGCCGCACAGTTTCGGCTTACTGAAGTGTAAGGGCTTCGTAGCAGAATCAGTCCAGGTAGGACTTGGGGAAAATCTCTCGTTGACTATGGTTTTCAGAGAACCTCCGGCTTCACAAAACCCTAGAAGCCTGCGGGAAATGTTACTCGCATCGTCGACATGCGTGTCTACTACTCGACGGCTCCATATTGCGCGAGATTTGGCTAGGTCCATTGGTTATGTGCATACCTTCGGCTTTGTGCACAAAAACGTACGTCCGGAGTCAGTCCTCGTTTTTGACGATGCCGACGGACAGGGTATTTCCGCATTCTTAGTCGGATTTGAAAACTTCCGACGAGACGAAGGCTGGACGCAGCGCCGAGGCGATGACGCGCCAGATAAGAACCTATACAGGCACGCATCTCGGCAAGGCTTCAACCCTCGCGATGATTACGAGATGCGCCACGACATATACAGTCTGGGTGTATGTTTGTTGGAAATAGGTCTTTGGAGTAGCTTCGTCGAATACGATCCGGCAACCTCAGCGCGCAGTCTTTCGCAACAGCTCACAACGCCGTCTGGGAAAGACAGAGAGATCGCGTCGACATCTCTGCGAGACCCGACAAAGGATGTCTTCATCGCTCTCGCACGATACCGTCTCCCAGGTAGCATGGGCGACATGTACGCGGAGGTTGTGGAGACGTGTTTGACGTGTTTGGACCGCGGCAACCTTGCTTTCGGAGACGAGGAAGCGTTCGAAGACGAGGATGGGATTCGCGTTGGCGCTCGGTATATCGAAAAGGTTCTTATTCGCCTCGGGAGGCTAAATATGTAGTTCTGCTGCGTTCTGTCCTGTTTCTGCAGTCAGATCTTAGAAGGGATGTGTTCGGTTTCTCTGCGCGTAGATCCTGCCTCCTGATCAGCACAACCAATCCTGCTGCATAATTCACATTACAGCGATTCGGCTCCCACAATATACATATTGTGCGACGAGGGAGGCAAGAGCTAGGTGTGGTGTACCCGGGCAGGATTGGAGCATCGGGTGGGATCCAAATGCCGCCGGACGCAGCTCGGCAAAACCTCGGCACTCAATCAACCGAGGACCACGTTATTTGTTCGGTGACCTTCGCGATGTAGCCGCGATCTTACATGAAGTCTCAACGTCATTTCAGGAAAATCCCCAAAATGTCAGATGCCATGTGAGGGAGTGTCGCGTCCCGGGCCAGACACCTCGTAACTTCAGAGGAAAGAATGTACAGCACCGCACTCTATGAGCGCTGAATGCATCATAATTGACTGTCTACTGCTCTTGAACGGAACGTCGTGGCGAGAGTGGCCTTTCTTCACTTTCCAGGAGCGCACTGCTCGCATCAATCACTTCTCCGCTTTGTATCGATGACTCCTCATCCGCGTGCCCCATTGAGGTACCTTCCTCGGGTCCATCAACCCATTCCACACCCTCTGCATCCATGAGTTCAACACCCCACCTAACATCTCCCTGCGCGTCTCTAAACCAACCCAATTTAGTCAGTCTACCACTCTTAGTAAAGCCTTCGATACCTTGCTCTTCAATCAAACCGATCAGCCCCTCGCTTCCAGCAACCATAGCTAGTACGTCTGCCAAGCACTCGACGCGATGTTGCATGCATGAGCTCGGATATACGATCTGCAAGCTCACAACCAGAACAACCAGGATAACGATAAGCAGGATGAGTATGGTAAGCGAGAGCCACGTTGCCGTCTCATTCATAGCAAGAACTTCAACCCGTTTCGTAAACGTCCCATTCACAGGCTGTGACGAGGCCCGCTGGTAGGCTGCTCTCTCAGGTCCTGAAGATGACCAGCGCCCGCTGAGACTCGACGACCCGCTATTGACAAAGTGTTTGAAGAATATTTGTAAAGTCTTCTCGGAATGTCGCAATAGCGTTGTTGCATTTAGCAGGGATTCGGTGTCTTTGTTGGCAAGGTTCCAGTTTGCGTAGGACATGAAATCGACGTTGAGCCCACGATCCCGGTCGCGAATGTTGAAGCGTTCGCTTGCTGTTTCTTCGATGCTGCGGTTGTAGGATAGCCAGGAATGTGCTATGTGAGGTGTGATGATGTGTGGGGCGGTGAGGAGCTGCGTCATGAATAGATGGCCGTAACTAGTAGCTAGTGGTTAGCACTTGATTCGTGATGAACACGCTCGAGGTAGCCACTCAATTGGATGGATGCCTTACCTGACATTTCCTCTTCCTGTGTAGGATGTTGGACTAGGGTACAAGATATCCCAGGCGTAATCCCATGCGTCCAGAGCAGGCTGTGGGTCCGCCACCAAGCTGTAGTCCAAAACGTTCCCAGAACTCCTAGCTACAGTAACACTGGCGGATGTATTTTCGATGACCATGATACAGTCCATTATAGCCATCTTGGGCTCTTCCGTGAAGTAGAGAAGCTCTTCATCTGCAGAGCCGTACGGTGCGCTTATTTGTTGTACCTTCGGGTTCGCAGCTGGATTAGCTCCAGATATTTTCGCAGTCACACCTGGCCCCACGATCCACTTGATGGTAAAGTTACGGTACCAAGAGCCTTGAACGATAACATCTTCTGGTCCATCCTCGCTGAGGGGATCTGACGGCGCATTGGCACTCGTGCAGTTGCCATTAGTAAGTTGTTCATAAGTGCACTCTTGTATGAAGAAATTGGGATCCACCCGTTCAATCATTGAGCTGTTGCTGCTCCAATACGCAACGACAGCTTGCTGACCAGGATCTGTGCCATTCGCACAGCATGACAACCGTCTCCGGGCCGAGAAGACAGAGGTATTGTACGATTCGCCGTCGAATAGAGTAGTTGGTAATGCAAATCCTTGTAGCGCTTCATTGGTACGATTGGGAAAAACGTCTGCGGCTTGGTCAAGCCAGCCGGGGTCAGGTACGGCAATCGGAGAGCACTGTAATCGACTTCGGATAGCGGAAGTGATGAAAGACGCGTTTGCGGGTGACGCTAGAGAATCGGAGCTTGCATGTCTCCCAGAACCGGAACGCGATTTCGAGGATACTGTGACGTTTGGCAGCTCTTGCATATCAAGTGGGGTAAACGTCCATTCGTCCTTAGTCCACGCCAGTTGCGGTGCTTCTAGAAGGATCTCGTCCAACGCGTGGTTGAGCCACTGAATATTGGATGAGTCCAACATATGCTCGTCTAAGTCGAAATTGCGCGTCCGTTCGCCTGGGTTGGAAAAGTCGATAGGCTCTTGTAGAAGCTCAAAAGGTGCTGTCACCCAAAGTGTATCAATATGTGATGGGTCCCAAGTTTCCCGACTAATCAATGCGGTCTGTCTTTCGAAGACGGCTGCCATGGAGATAATGACTACACGGTTAGCTACACGACTCAACGGAGCGAGAAAATGCTTACGGATTTGTGTTAAGGTTGTACCAGTAGTTATTAGACAAAGCATCCAATGTTTCCGCGACGCTGATTTTGCCGCGGCCCATATCCAGTATGAAGACTGGTAAGTCAACGATGCTCCTCGTATTGGGACTACGGGTTTCCGCGACAACGAGAGATATGGCTGCAGAATCCGCATAGGTTTATCGATACCATCCCAACTCAATCCAATACAAACGGCGATTAGCGTTGCAACGACAGAGTGAGGAGAGAACGACGTGTCGAATAAACCCAAATCGACCTGGTAGGTAAAAGCAGTCTGGGAAAGCTTATCTTCTCGTGCATATCTGCGAAGAACGAACATGGTTGTTGCGACAGCGATCAGAGTAGCCAGTAGTGTAAGAAGCCATCGTTTGAGGAGCATTGAAGGCCTCCAGTCATCTTGAGAGCCATCTTTTGATATGGGATGGCTTACTGAAAGCTCGCTTGTCTTGCCGAGTACATTCGGCTTTCTACCTTCAATCGACTCCCCTGTCGTTTCCTTCTCTGAAATGATGCCGCCTTGTAGATGATATACCCGTGATTGGATAAGACCTTGCGTGCGCGATCTTTCATATCCAAGGAATGTACTGAACGTGGTAGAAGAAAGCGAAGTACTGCCAAGGAGGGATGATGTTCCAGCAACGGTGGCAGGATCTGAATGGAGGTTCAGTGGTCTTTTCCTGGGCGATGTGTAGAATACAGCTACTGCAATGTAGCCTGCCAAGAGCATGAACAATACTGCGAGTGTTATTGCAACCTCAGTGACGACCAGAATCCGTCTCCTAACGCGTGTAGCAAGCCCTTTTGTATCTTCCAATTGTGGGTTGTCGGCTTCTATGAGAGAAGAGAGCAAAAGCTCTTTTGTGAAGTGCATCCGAAGTTTGCTAGCTTCTTCCTCTAACGTGACGTTCTCCAAAATATTGGATACGTTGTGAGCGAAAGTTGAAGCAAGAAGCAACGATATACCCTCAAAAGAACCATGAACATTACGAGGTACGGCCATGTACTGGAGGTAGAGGTACGATGTCAGTATATGTCTCGCATGCACTTCGTACAGTCAGAACTTACCTTGTCCCAACTGTCACTGCGAAAAGTGAGATCATCCAATAAGTCGAAATCGATGGCTTGTTTCGACACAGGCTGCCTGCGTCGCTCAAACTCTGATACATCGAAGGACATGGAAGTTTCAACGCCGTCGATGGATGCAGAGACTGGGAGGCTAGCTGTATGATATTCCGGAGTGCATACTTGTGCCCGTATCGTGAGGTTGTCCCATGATTCTTTCTCCCATACACCCACGGGCACATCGACAGGTGACGGCCGGACAATCCATTGAGGCGATACAAGTAGCAGGTCACGCCCAATGCATTGATCGGAGAAACCATAAATGAACGTGCGAGACCATTGCTCGAGGACCTTCTCTCCAATGGAGCGAATTGCTGGAGGCTGACCGTAATCTCGAATAAGTGTCTCCCACGACACGTAATTGGAAGACATGTTGGTCCAGAGCAAGCCTCCATCATCTGTAAAGGTATCGCTAATGAAGCCATCGGAGTTCAACTCGGCTCCCAAAGCATCCCATTGAGCGATTGGACCTTGGATTTGGACCTCACAACCATCCTCTGATCGAACTTTGAAACCCTTTGAGGAGACAGTACATGTGTCGTTTGGACATGACGTTATCGGGATGTCTGTATACTTGTAGGTAATATCGATTATGTCCTTCTCAACCAGAGCCATCGATGTGCAACTGTAGTTTAGATGGAACACCTCAGTATCTGCTTGCCATATACCGTTCGGAAGCGTTGCATGGCGCTTGTCGCCATTTGATGCTCCAAAAGGTACAATGACTTGCGAATTCGACGACCAGATAGATGTAGATACGTTGAAGAGATATCCACTTATAGTTCGGAGATACGTATCCCTTCGAGGTGAAAGCTGAATGGGTGACAAGTCTTCGCCAATTGTCTGGCCAGCGGCATACCGTTGAAGCTGCACATCCTCCTGATACAAGATTTCTTTCGCAACGAATACGGACGACGAGAAGGTTGAAATGCTGAGCACACTGATACCAGCTGCGAGCGAAGACAAGGCCAGATTCCATCTCCGGTGGCCGCCGCTCCGCTTTCGAGAGAAACCTACAAAGATGCTTTTCCACCAGACCTTGGGCAGATAGAATAGGGTGAACTTGGCTTCGATAGATTCGGGGCCGGCCATGCGTGCGTATGCTTCAGTCCTCTTTACATCTTCCGCAACCTGGACAACAGCCTGCGTGAAGAAAATGGCGACGATAGTGGGCGTATATCTCCATCCAATGAGTAGTCCAGTAGACCCATCCTCATCTCCGAGTCCATGGTTTTTATAAGAGTGCCAGCTAAGGGCTGCTAACACGGTCGAGAGTATGAGTGATGCTAGGCTAAGAGTGATCAGGTATGGGCGCCGCAGCGTGTATGGCACCCAATCTGTGGATGTCCGCAGGCTTTGATCTTGAAATTTTGCTTTAAGCTTGTTAGAAGATGTCGGACATAGTAACTTGGGGTACTCGGTGTTGCACTCACGCTCATGGGTATCATCGAAGTTCCTTATTTGCGACTCATCCAGCGAGTGGTCATCGATTGCTCCACTGAGTGCGGTAGATGCTCGGCTGGAGAGAAGCGTCTCGTTTTCCTGAGCAGCATGAGGAGACGAATCGGTGTGTTCGCGTTGCTCTTGAGCTCGGGATTCAGGCCTGCGAGTGCGGTCGACGCCGTCGCCCTGTTCGGCGTGTTCATGCTGCGTGATGCCGCTTAAGGTATCGCTCTCAGGAAACGATATCCATGAATAACGTTCGCGCGGTTCTGACGATGGACTAGTGTTTGAATGCGACATGCTGTTTGCGCATTAAACTCCGGATTGCGGCTCCCACGCAGGTCATTAGGCAGTCTGACTGGAATATGTAGATCGCGCAGAGTACCTAGGTATTTGGGGAAGACATATCTAGAGGCTGAGTGCATTCAGGCAACCATATTAACCCCAGGAAGACTTGGCTCCATGTTACGCGCTGCAGATGCAGCGGTCACAATCAGCAGCATAGCCTCGTTACGCCCGGCGACCCACTCATGGCGGCCCAATCTCCGCTGGTTACCTGGCAGAGCCTCTTAGTCTTGGAAGCCGTTAGACATATAAGATGCGGGCTGTGATTGCCCAGTAATAATGCGAGAGAGATCTGTTTGCATGCGACAAGACGGAAGTCGCGAAGTGCGGAGGACATGCCAAGGTTCCACAGGGGGTCAACGTCAGCGCTAAAGCTCAAAAGGGAAAGCGTTTGAGGGCGGAATTGTCGATCGACGATCTTCGTGATGTAACACAGATCTTCACCGGAGTGCCTACCTACACAGATATAGATAGCATCGCTGTATCACAGCCGACGACAATATTGCTCAATACGTGCTTACCCTATCTACCAGCACGAACTCTGAGAGACCTCGGGAGCATCTGGCTGTCGTGGGCCGTACAAGCAAGCATCAAGTACGTGGTTGTTGTGCGATCACGCAACACATGACTTCGAAATCGTATTAGCTATCTCCAAGACTAAGGGTTCTGGAAACGCTTGATGTTACAACAATAGCTGTCGGTTCGCATCGCTTCCAAGACCCACATCGCGCTAATTGCATTCACAGACTAACGCATTTCAATGCGATCAGTCTCTGGGGATGGTTGAACTCGAGTGTCTCAGCGTGGTCTACTACCTTTCAAAGTTCACTCATCGTCTCTCGAGATCCCATGGACATCGTTACATCCCCCTCACTCCAGCACGAACATGGTACCATCCCAGTCATAAACCCGAGCCAGCCTCCTCCCAAAGTTCCTCGCCAGCTTAAGCGGTATCTCGTTACTCGGATGAGGTTGGTGGAAATGTATACCTCGCTGTAGGTGCTCCAAGCCACCTGTTGGGGTGAACTCCCAGGCTGAGCCGTGCATCTGCTCAGCCGCAAAGCCGAGCTTAGTGAGTGCGCTCAAGAATTCTCCCCATGTAACCTTACCGGGCACGCTGCCGTTTTCATCTGGAATGTGGAAGAGCGCCGAGAAGACGCGATGGGCGTTTTGGTCAACCTTATAAACAACCTTCTCTTCCAACTCTCCCTCTGGGCCTTGCGCAGCTGGCACTGCACCTGGGCCAGGCTCGCCATGGGTCTTCTCTTTGGTCTTCTCCGTCACTGCAAGCTTGTCGAAGCTGGCGGTGACGTCTTTGGATGAGTCGTGGAAGATTTTTGAAGCTGGCTGGGGCTGAAATATATCCTCTGGTCGATCAGACTGGTTCGGCCTTGGAAACTTCTCATCCCATGTCTTGGTCCGTCTGATTGCACCTCCTTCGTCGAAGATGCGACGGAGTGCTCTCCTCTGAGGCCGTTGACAAAGCTTAGTTATATTCCCGTCCACCATGGCCCAGAAGTCGTCTAGATGTCTTTCAGCTTTGCATAGTGCTTGTCGCACTGGCTTTCTAGCGGCGCTCTTTTCGGAAGGGTAAAAGAACTTCTTGTCTTCGGGATCTCCTAGGTCTGTATCCGTAATGAGCCCCTCCTCAGTTTGGAAGACCTTTCCCCAGCCTTGAAATGACCCCATTAGACTGGCTTTATAGTCCGCTGAGTCTGATTCTAGGTAGTATACCGACTCAGTGTACCAGGGCTGGATCATCAATCGAAAGGCGCATTCAGCGAGGACTGAAAGCTTCGTCAATATCTGCTCGATCTGGTGACTGAAGAGATTTCTTGCCGCCGGGCTTCGTGAGAGAAAGGTCTCGAGAACGTCTAGGCCATGGTAGAGCTCCTGCCAATCCGCGATCTTTTCACTCTCGTAAGCGCCAGTGATGCTGAACAACATCATATAAGTTTCCCTCAGTAACGGCTCTTTAAGCATGCTTGGGTTAGTTTTGATATTCCTGTTGTCTCTAACAAAGTGCATGCGGAACCCGGGGCTTGTACAAACCCCTCTGAGTTCCACCAAGTACAATGTCTTCATCTCTTCGAGCAGGAAATGTGTGTAGTCGATGATCTTCACTTCCGACTCTTCAAGTTCGCTGTAGACGATCCCGTTCGGATATGTCTCAGTTAGCTTTTCGAGCTCGTGCATCTGATCCGCTAGTTCCTGCCAGTACATGAGATGGAAATGCGACCGAAGAACTATACCGTTCAGGGTGAGCCTCACAAAGTCTTGTCCTCGCAGTGCTGGGTGTGATTTGCCATGCTCGTCTGGCACCATGAATACGTCATGGTTTACAGCATCCTCATAGGCGTCCTCAAAATAACCAGGATCTTCCCGAAGATGAAAAGCGTGATCCTGGATAGCTTTAGCAGCAGATTTGACAAGTCGGCAAACTCTGCCGATATCCAAGCCAGTGGGCCCTTGGTAATATAACCTAGCTGCAATTCCGGCAAAGGAATTCACAAGCTCTCCACGTCCGACCAAATTGAGTGGTTCCGGTTTGATAGGATGAATGTCGTCTGTCAGCTCTGCTGAGCTAATGGGGCTCAGTATAGCCTCGCAAATCTTGACCAGGATAGTGTAGACGTGGCATTGTATCAACAAGACCTGCAGACCCTCACCAAGGCCAAGGGCGAGTTTTCTAACCTCTAAAACCTCTACACTCTCAAGGTTCGGCCATTCACGAATCTTCCCGTAGGTCAATTCGCCGTCAAAGAGCATTTTGTTTGTCGGCAAGAGCTGATCATTGACTCGAGCGGTCGGTATAAACATACGCTCAAACGCACCGAAAGCGTATGGATGGCTTCGTCCTCGTGCATTAAGATATATGAGAAGCGCTTTCGGATCTTTCGCGAGATCTTGAAGGTTAATATATGGTAGTATTCGCTTTGGATCGATGCTGTCTGACGCTTCTGTACTGGTATCAATGCTGGCGTTCTGCAATCCCCTACACATCGACAACCTCCAAGATCACCTTTTGCGAGAGGAAGAAGAGAGGCTAGGGAGGGTTGACTTACTGATGCTTTTCGCGGGAGTGGGGACAAATTTCCCTGTAGTATCTTCGAAGCTAGATGAAAGGTGCTTGCCCGCCATATCAGGCCAAACGCTCAAAAGGAGTTCCCTTCGCTTCGCTTCGGTCGTGTATGACTGTCTATATCTCTTACGTATAACTTCCTCGTGACGAAGAATTATATCGTGAAGCCTCTGATAGCTCGTCGAAGCCCTCGTAGCATACTCGGTGGCCAAATCCTCGAGTTCGTTCATAGGGTAGAGATCTCCGTGTTTGTGACTGGAGAGGAGCCACTTGAAGATGGATTGCATTTCTTCGTCGGTAAATATAGGCATCATTTCAGGAACGCGATCGTGTCGATATACTTCCCGAAGTTGAGAACAACTGGGTGGATGGAATACGAGAAGGGCGGGGTATTAATAGACAAGGCGAGCAGAAACCGTAGCCTAGAACCATCGTCGTAGAGTCCGTGACCGACTACAGTTCAAGGCCGCACTGACTAGTCTATACGCCATGAAAGTGACGAAATGAGAACGCACTCCAAAGGCTTCTAGCCATCTGCCGGCGAAGGCGGTGCTTTGGAATCAGTGAAGCATCTGATTATACTTATAAGTATTCATTCTGCGCTTGCTAAAGGTTGTGCGTGATCAAGAAGAAAACATCATAGTGGGCCGCGGAGTTGCTGGATTGTGGGGATGGTCAGGACATCCACAAACACGTACTTTGAAGACATTAATCGAGATGCGAACTTGACGTAAGAAGACTGTAAGAGCTAGGTTCTCTCTTTCTTGAAGAAGGCAATCGTTCATTACGCTGAGAATAGCTCAACATTTGATGAGCGGCTGAGATATATCCAATTCCGGGAGGATGCCGGGATACTGTGCCACTTCCAAAATGCCCTCTGGACTCAAATGCAACGGGCCCCATCTACGCCCTCCGTAACACGTGAGCTCATAGACATCCTCTCCAGGCTTGGTCTTGGTTTTGAGGTACGCGAAGATCTTGGCATTCGCCTCGGTGTCCTCCGGATCCTTGGCCACAGCCCACCACGTTGTCGGTTTTGGAGGTACCTTCCTCTTCGTGAATCTCAGTTTCCGCTCCTCGTAGCTCACACCGGGAATATCGATGTCGCGCCAACCCCGGAGATCATCAACCGTCTCGCCTTCGATCAGGGACAACTTCCAACACGGCTTTCCATTGGAATCGTGGGTTTTTTCGACACGATCTCCGTAGAAAGCCTCTAAGTTACACTCCGTCTCTTCATCGTGGCGATCACGACTGAATTCATCTGTGGATGGGTATACGAAGACAGTGGCTGTAATTGGTTCCACGTTCGAAGAGATGTCGACCTCCCTGTTGTTCCCGTCAGGAGACGGACTTGCAATGACCGCTGGTATCAACGCAAGGAACAAGAGACGAAAGCGCATGATGTGAGATTGACGGAACAAAGTTCTTGGGACAAAATGTATGGAGAAGTTTGGTAGTGAAAAGATCGTGGGATCTTTGAGATGTGAGATGGCTCAATGGTAGATAGCAACACTTCAATGCGTGCCCGCTCTTATAGACATATTGCGACGCTCGAGATTACGATCCTGCTATACTTGGAGTTTTACTTCGCCGTCTTGATGTCCACAGAAAGACCATGTTCAAACGTAGAAGTCGGCGCCTAGGAGCTATGACAGCATACCTGTCTTGAGCACTATCCATGATGAGGTCGCTTTGGACCTGATTCGAATGAAGCACAATGAATCTGCGACCGGAATCGACGACAACCGATGCAAACTTGTGGCGGCGGCACCTACTGTCGACGAAGAAGTGGGGGGAAAGTGATGTGGTTCCGTGCCGTAATGTGAGCTCATTTTACCCGTGAGAGCGCTAGGCGATTATGTCAGACAGCAAGACCGACATGATTGGCCCACTGCGGCCCCACTCTGACACGCCCCAAAATAGAGTAGGCTCACTCGTTTGCACTTGCATCTGAATCCTTCTCTCCGCCTTGCGTAGAGATATTTCAGGTGCATGGCACAGCAGCCTCGCGTGCGTTGAACTTGATGGCAGTGTCAATTTGAAACGGACTACTGCCGTCAGCAATGTGCCGCTGGCGCTGGCACTCGTCAAGGTAGTACGAAGTCAGTCCGATGGCAGTCACCATGAATGGTACTTCAGGTAAATCGAGATCACATTTCCGGGGCGTCTAGGGCCATCGCAATGCAGGTAGTCACCGAGCACTGGCCAAATAATGGAAAGGATAACATTGAGCTACTGACGTCCGATATCTCCACAGATGATAACATGCCTACGTAATTTCTTCTAGCATAATGTTTGACCTTGCACCCATCCAGCGCCGACCTATCGACCCATCGACCCGTCTATCATCTGTCTAGATCTTGAGTAAGATTTTAGACCCAGAGTCTATGAACGCCGTAACCGTGAATGACACCCCAACACAAGTGCGACGAATAGGGTTTCCTCTACATCGTCCTTCAGGAAGGGATATTCAAGCGAGCTGAAACATATCACCTCTCCAGCCGTACGTCCTCGCAAGACGCCGACCGAAGCGTCGAGCCCATGTGAAAGGCAGCTTGTGTGTCGGGTGAGGCTCATGGAACTGGATGGGCTGCTCTACATCGAGGTCTCGCGGGGTGAACTGCCAGGCGGAGCCTTGCAGCTTCTGTGCGGCGAATCCAGTAGCTACCATGGCGTATAGGAAGTCGTGCCAGGGGATATCACCAGGATGGTCGCGCGAAAGTGGTGAATGGAATAAGACCTTGAAGACTTTGTGCGCGCGCTTATCGAGACGGAAAGTCGGTTGTTCGTCGATGTTGGTGGGGGCTTCTGGCACGTTCGGGTTGTTCTCATGACCATCCTCGGTGTTGAGGGCTGCCAGACCATGAGACTTTGCTTTGTTGGTATTGCTCAGATTGATCTTGTCAAATGCGCCGGTGATCTGCTTTGTAGGGTCGTGGAAGTCATTGGAGACTGGAACGTATACGTATTCAATTGGCGCAGAGGAGTTTGAAGCCTCCTCGGGCTCGACCCAAAGCGGCGTGCGCTGTAGAGTACGCTCCTTGATAAGACCGGAGACTATGTCGTGAGGCGTAGTACCAGTACATTCTCTAAATCGAACATCTGCAGCATGCCAGAACGCGTCCAGGGCCGCCTCTGCACTCCTGAGATTTTCGACGGTCATCCTGCTTCGTCGCTTGTTGACTGGATAGCGAAACCTTGCGCCTGGCTTCCCAAGATCAGCGAGGTTGGTTCCCTCGAAGGTTGTGCTCAAAGTTGAGTGCCACCTAGAGAGGCTGATAGCATAGGCTGTCATGAGCTCTGTCTGTCGCTGTTTGGCTAAGTACTGAACTCGCTTTGCCCATGGTAGGAAGAAGCTGAGTTGACGAAGACATTCCGAGACTATGGAAAGCTTTGAAAGGAGGGAAGCTGCGAATGGGGAAGTCAAGTCCCTCGCTCGCTCGTTATTTTGCAGGAGGTTGTCCAGTGCCTCCACCAGAGTGTGCACCTTTAACGACTGTCGGACGGGTGGCTCCCAAAGATACTTGAAAAGAGTGAAGACGCGCTCCAGTTCTTTGTCTCGTTTGCGACTACCTTTGCCGGTGAATTTGATACCCACCACCATATCTTCCACACTGTGATCGCATTCTTGGGAGAAATAGGCGCGAATTTCTAAAGAGGATGACCAGGCTGCCCTCAGCTCTTGTATGATTTCCAATTGGAAGAATTCTAGAAAAGACCATGCTTCAACGAGTGACTCTGAGAAGTCTTTCGGGAGCTCTTCTTTGCCACCAAGCGTCCCAAACCCAAGCCCGTCTTTGTGTAGCAAGGAAAGACGATTGAGCTCAGATATACGTTGACGTAGTTCGTTCCACATGAACAGATCAATGTAGCAGTCGGTGGCCATACTATGTAACACACGAGGCCAAAGAACTTCGTTGCGCGCACTCCTGTGTGTTTGTTTGCAACGAATACCTGGCAGTAGCTCAGGCCGATGTTCTTTGCATTCAAGTGTAGACTCTCGAAAGTATCCTGGATCCTCTCGGAGCAACCAGATGTGGTCTTCCGTCGCATTCTGACATGCCGACACCAGTGTTTCGAGTCGACCGAGATCTTCCAATGTGGGTACACGATAGCATGCTTCGCGTACGATAGCGTTGAGCGAGGTGAAGTCCTGGTCGCTGCAAGTGAGAGCTGGAGGCTCGAGTGGGGAAGGAACATCTTTGCCGATCCAAGGTAGATTTACGCACGATTGCTCGGTGATGGCTAATCGCACCATAGCGTTATCTGACAAGATTTCGCCAACACAGAGTAGAAGGAATTGGTATACCATGTTCTGCATCGCCATAATGTGTGAGCCAGGCAAAGGATGTATGGTATCTCCTCTGCTCATCGATTCAGCGGCGTCCTCTTCCGTATTCCACTGAACCATCTGCCCATACCCTCCTAAGTTCAGTTTCATAGTGTACCTTGTCTTCTCGAGAAGTGCTGATCGTAGATGAACTAGAGGGGCCAGCTCGTAATCCAGAAGGGCGAATTTCCACATTGCGTGTCGGCCACGTGCGTTAAGAAGGATGAGCAACGGATGCGGCTTGGTGAGATCCTCAAGGTTGAGATGGGGAAAGGCGTACTGCGCCAGGCCATGCGAATGCCTCTGGTGTGGGCACGCATTAATAACGGACCTGTCGATGTCGGGGCGATGATG